CCCCCGATCCCCCCCCCCCCACCCCCACCCCAAACTGTTGTCCAAAACAAATAGTACCATGAAACTGCAGTTTACCCAACAATGCTTTTGTTTACTGCAACACCATTCCCCAAGTTTCAGTATGCGGCTGGCCAAATCGGAAAGAATTATTGCCCTACCTCTATTCCAGGTGAAGCCTTTTGCGTTTACCTTTTCCCTCGTATAATGCATGATAATAACAGAATTCATTCATCAAAGGCTCCTACTGTTATTCCCTGGAAAGAGTTATATTTAACTTGGATAGGTCACAGCATTTTCCAGCAGGCTCTGCTGAGAATATGAGCCTGAAGAATTATGACTTTTCTGACCCAGGTGTGGGCATTATTCATGCTTAAGATCCGATCGCTAGTGCTACCAGAACGCGGGTAAGAGCTGCCGCTGACAACTTAAAAATGTCAGGACTTTTCTCAAAGTCTTTGGCCTAGTTGGGGAAACTTGAAGAGGACATTTTAGTGGCACGTCATTGGTTCTTGTACTATCAGCGTTTGTGGATGTGACAATGTGTGGGGTTATTCTGGTTTTCATCCTGCTGTTTTTTCTCTGCTGCATTTGGAATGACATTTAAGTGGATTCCATGTCACACTGTTAAAATGATTTTTTTGAAGTTGTGTATAAAAATATATTTCAGTCTTTCTACTTTCATGTTAAATTCGATGTATATTTGCCATTCTTTGTAATTATGTGTGCAATTTACTAGTAATTTCTGAGTGAAATGTCTACATGTTTTAGTTTAGAAATAGAATGAATAAAGTTGGGGGATATCAACATTTTTAAATGTATGTATATACATGTGGGTGTATATGTATGGGCCTCTTCAATTTATATTTCACTTTGGCTGAAAGTTCATGGTAGCAAAATGTGTCTTAAGATATTAGGCTCAAACTTTCTTTTTTTTTAAATTTAACAAATTAAAAGGTTTTTCTGCACACAGTTTCATAAAATTATTTGTGTATTGCAGTTGAAATGCGTTTAGAGTCAAGCCCTCAGTAATGCAGGCTAATCTTTGCATTCTCTTGTTGTCTTTTCCAGCTGGAACAACATATATCTTTGGGAAAGGAGGAGGCCTCATAACCTTTAACTGGCCGGCCAACGAGCGCCCGAGCACCCGTACGGACAGGCTGACAGTGGGCTTTAGCACCTCACTCAAGGATGGCATCCTGATCCGCATCGACAGCGCCCCCGGCCTGGGAGACTACCTCATGCTCCACATTGTAAGTCAGAGCTTCTTCTAACTTGATCGGCCACATCTACAAATTTCAATTCTAAAGGTAAAAAAAAAAAGCCAGAGCACACAGTAGAGTTTTTGGTTTTCTGATGCCCAGTATTTGGGGTGACCAGTAATTAGCTGTGAGGCTGATGACTTCAGCATTTTATATATTTATAATTATTTAATCATTATTCAGCATGCATGCATGCATTACATTGACAAAACTTTTACAGTTACACAAAAATGTACACAAATAAATGTGGTTCTTATGAACTTTCTATTCATGAAAGAATCCTGGAAAAAAAGATCACAGTTTACACAACAAAATATTAAGCAGCACAACTGTGTTCAGCATTGATGATAAAAAGAAATATTTCTTAAGCAGCAAATCAGCATATTAGAATGATTTTCTAAAGAATCATGTGACACTGAAGACTGCAGTAATAACTGCTGAACAATTCATCTTTGTCATCAGAGAGATAAATTATCTTTTAAAATGTAATAGTATTTCACAATATTATTGTTTAAATGTATTTTTAGCTGAAGCATTGGTGTGTATAAAATACTTATTTTAACAGCCTTAATTAATAAACCAAAGGCATTGGCTTGAATACATTACAAATAAAATTCATAGAAATTTTACATACAGACATGGGTAATTAAGTGGTAGGAGTAGCTATGCAGCATCTCAAAAATAGACAATCTCAATGCGACACAACATATGCTTCCAGTGTATGCGTCAGTGCTGCATTGATTATAATGGGAGAGATTTAGGTTGTCGACAGGGTGTTAGCGTTCTCTGCATTTCATAGAACGCAACACCTCTGTGAGTGGATACCTTGTGGGTGGTTTCTTTTTCTTTCTGTTACACGTCCTTGTAAATAATCAATCCAAGAATAATGATGTCTCTCAGATGGCTCTGTTTTGAGTTGCACAGTTTCACTTCTACATTAATCTTTGTATTGTGTCAGTGACAATATGAAGTTTGTCACTCCACAGCTGCATTATAAAAAAAATTAAATAAAATTCAGAACAGCCATATCAACTGTGGATTTCTTCAGAAGTGGTGGGTTTTATTTTGCTGAGCTGCACAATGTTCTTTTCAAATTATTAAAAATCAATATGTATGCCACACGGAAGCCCAGCAGCTTTTTTCCTACAGTTTATACATGGTGAGAGCTTCTATTTGGCCGGATGTGTCCATAATGTAAATAATTCAGCACTCATGTAATGGATGCTGGTTTGGTAATTAACCTGCTTTTCTGAAAGACAAAAGGATTAATTTTCAGACAGTGTTTGTCATCAAGGGGTCTTTAGCTCATAAATGAACAATGAGGTCATTAGAGTGTTTCCTCTTTTTATTAATACTCCACAAACAATATATATCGAAAAATGTAGACACCTAAGCTCACACGCATATGCATTTTTTTGTTTGTTTGTTTTTTTATTCAAAATGTTTTGCACATACTTTTGGCCATATTCAATTCACTGAAAAATTCTAATTAATTGTTGCATTTTATTATTCCCTAATTTTATAAACATTTCAACACACTTGTGACAATGTGTAATATTACAGTAAAAATTATGTGTAAGATAATTTTAATTAATAGACAAGAATATGTGTGATAGATAAATGTGACTAAAAACTTTTACACTGTTACAATTTTATTTTTTTTAAAACACTGCTCTTGCGAACTTTCTGGAAAAGTAGTAAATTATTGATGCTTTTTAAAAATTTCCTGATTTACTAAACACAGTTCAACATATCCGAAAGTTTCTAACTGTACAGTATAGATTACTGCGACGTATTGAAACTGATAGTAAACAAACAAAAAAGTCGTATCTTATTACGTTTGCACATAAACAAGTGACCTTGTAGTTTAATGGGGGACTGGATGTCTTTTTTTGTCAGAATGTGAATGGGGAATATTTCTTTGGCTATCTCCATCTGTCCACTAGTTTTATTGTGGCCTATGTTGGTGGTCCACTGGGACTCTTGGGGTTCTTGGGGCTCTGTAATGGGCAATATAACTAAGGGCATTTCACTAAACCCTCACCCCCTGCCTTTACCCTTTATGACATATATGGACACACACACATACATACTCGCCCCATTATAGCAGTGTAGCGCTGATGGAAATAAGCCTCTTCTGCCAAATGAACTAAATCTAGAGCACAACTCTAGAGTAAAGGGAATTAAGCTGCCGTATTTTATAGGCAGTTTCGAAACTTACGTAACTAGTGATTGGGAGTTGCCTTTGATTAGCATGTACTGGTGTGGAATTAATCTTTGCATTTGGAACACTATACAGGGCACATTACGTCTTTGGTCTCTTTTTAGATTTGAGCACTAACCGTTTAGTCCTTGGAACGTAAATCCGCTTTAATAATGATTTTAAACCTTTATCATGTTTGCCTTCAACTTTGGGAAGAGTAGTAGGTGACGATGGATCAAAATGTCGCTGTTTTATTTTGGGCTGATTATGGAAGTCTCCCTCCACTAATTTCTTCAGCGCTGATAATGAGTGAGCTATTTTCAGCTGTAAACGCTTGTCTCTCTTACACTTCTGAACTGAGCAGCTGGTGACACCATGGAATACCTTGTTAGATAGTTTCCGGCAACAAGGGAAATGTCAGTGCTGTTGCCCTTCAAACATGCCACCTCTGAAATGGCAACCTCTGTGATGGAGTCTGCTAACCAATCACTTTAACTTGAGCCTTAACAAACCATATAATCTAACGGGGTCAAATTAATATCACAATTTAGACTAAAATGCTACCTCATGACTATACCATTATTAATCCCCTTGGGCTAAGTATGGGAACTTTGTATTGTGAGTTTTAAAGGGATAGTTCACGTGAAAAATTTTAATTGTTGTCATGTTGTTCCAAACCTGTGTGACTCTCTTTCTATACTTGGAGCACAAAAGAAGATATTTTGAAGAGTTTTTTTCAGTCTGTTTTTGTATATACAATGAAAGCCAGTGAAGTCCAAAACAACAACACCCCCATTGACTTTTATTGTATGGTTATTGTATGTAAAAAAAAGAAAGAAAGAAAGAAATTAAAGAAAGAAAGTCATACAGGTTTGGAAGTACATGATGTCAGGTTTTTTATTTTTGGGTGAACTGTCCTTTTAACTCTTGATTGGTACATCTTGCATCTCCACACATCAAAGCAGGGAACATCTGTCCACTGTAAATTTTGGCATTTCTCACTTTTAAAGCCATCTGATGTGTCTTCAGTCAGAAGAAGTGAAGATATAGACATGCCATCTGCTTCTCGCCATGTATTCTGTCCATGTGACACATTCATCCAAATAGCATAACAGGTCTTGTCACACCCTCACTTCATAGCCCTTGTTATCTCAAAGTCAAACAAAGAACATCATTTTAAACTTATTTTACTTCTGTAGTGTGACACTTTTCAGTGAAACAGGTAAAGGTGGGTGGGGCTTGATTTTATCCATCAGAAAGTGATTGGATTGTGAAAAGTGGTTGTTTCAAACCAGAACAGAGCAAGAAGAATTACAGTTTGTGGTTTGCAGTGATGTCAGTTACATATTATTGCATATAGTTACATATATTATGTCAGTTACATGTTAAAAATGACATAATTATCATAATTTTCTGTCTTCATCGAAATTACTTGAAATGATTTCATCAGTTTCATATCATACATGCATGCATCACATCATCAAAATTTCATAGCAAACATACATCATCAAACCATGTTTCCAAACCTTTGACTAGTACTGGTCTCATTCCCTCAGTAGGGAAGAGTGTAAAATCTGCCAAAATCTGTGGACAGAAGTGTGAAAACGTTTTGTGTGAGATTTGCTGATGCTGTTTGCGGCGATCTTAGCTATATAAAGTCTGCAAAAAGTTGCAAGCAAATTAAAATGTCTCACATAAAAACACATTTGTTATAGTTATAATTACTTATATTGAATTTAATTTTTTTTATTAAATATAAAGTGAACAAATGAACATTACTGAACATTCAAACATTTGTGTATAATCAAGTAAAATTGGAACATTTGAACAGCTGCCTTTTCATGGTAGAAAACCAATTAATCCAATACGAGTCATTTTGACACCCTGTTTGCATTCCTATAGGGTCATGCATTGTTGTAGAATTATTATTTTGACAATTATAAAACCATTCATGACATACACACACACACACACACACACACAGAGAGAGACTTAGCCTTTTTACAGCCATTGTTTCCCTACTACCGGTAAACCATTCATGTCAGCATGTTTGCCATCTGTTGACCGTGGCGAGAATGATGCACTTTTGTAAGTCGCTCTGGATAAGAGCGTCTGCTAAATGTCTTTAATTTAGACGTCTTCTGCTGGAGAGAGAGGAAGAGGCGAGGAGAGACTCTCGTGAAGATGTCCCTGCTGTTCCGGTTGATTGGAACACTCATCACACATTCATTTGAAATTGCCATTCTGTTCCTCTGTCTTCCTTAAGAGTTAAACACTTAAAGAAAGTTTCGAATAACTAAAGTTAAATGCATTTGGAATTCACTACTTCCCTAATACGAACAGCAGCATCTGCATAGCATTACGTATTTTTTGTAAGACCGTTGGATACTCATTAAGAGCAAATAGCTTCCCTCCACCAGCTGCACAGCTGGAAGTAAGTGTGTAATTAGGGTAAAAAACGAAGCGTTTCTACAAATTGCTTGTGCCCCCGTGTTGTATTACCGCTACACGAGTGGACGGGATGTTTCAATTTGCTTTAAAGGTCTTTTTCACCCCCTACAAAGCAAAACACGCTCGCTATTGCCGTTTTAAATAATGTTAACCAATGTCTTTTGGGTTTAGGAACTTGCACTTTGGCCAAATAGACGGGGGCCTTAAAATGACACGGTCCAATGATGGGCCAGCCATTTTAACTGAATTACGTCGCTGGGCCCTTTCCACATATCGACAGAAGAGGGAAAGGATAAATGGCTCCGACACCAGCAGTCTTTGCCACCAAAGCTGTTGA